TCTTGAGCCTTGGCCTGAAGGAGTTCAGACCAACTGAGCTCAAGACTTCTGAGCATAGAAAAGTTGTGTATTCATACTTTTTGCAGTTCTTTGTGTGACTCTGGCATTCAAATAGCAGCAGTCATTTTCACGTAATACGTCGTACGGGACTCACTGACATGTTTCTCACTGGGGATCACAGCTTTGAGTCTCCCATGAAGTTTACCTCTGTCCTACCTGTGAGCAATCAACAGGTTAAGTAGAGATGCTGAACAGGAGCCAATTTAAGGCTGCTACTGAAGTAATAATATCCTTTACCAATATGATCCACAGTATTTTAAGGGAGGTTTAACATGTACTATAAACAGTATCATGGAAGGACCATTAATAAGCATCTGTGCTATTTTAAAACAACAGGTGGTGAGATCGTTTCACCAGAGTTATGTGCTCACCATATGTGTAAATGGAAATTCTGTAGGAGGTAGAAGGCAAATGAGTGAATAGTTAGCAAATACATATATTATATATTATATAATATATATATAATTATATAGATATATTAAGATGTATATGATCTCATTAAAGCTGCAGCACATTTTACAGGCTAGCTAACAGCTGCCAGGATAACTTCAATGTATCTTTGAGTCTTTCGGAACAGTTTCTAGAACAAAGATGTGATAAAAAAGCAGTCAGAGAAACAAAGACCGTATGTTGGAGTTAGACCTATTTGCCTATCACTTCTGATGAATCACTGGGACATTAGTGCAGAAAGGGATGCATAACTGTGCAGAGACCAGCATGTTGCCTTGAAGTACTTCTGAAATGGGACAGGTTAAACTGCCCATGAATCCCATAAAGCCAAAGAACAGCAACATAGCCTATTTTAAAACTGATTTTAATAATGGTTAGAAAACAAAATACATTCTACTAGAGATAACTACACCTGGGAAGACATCAGAATTTGTCCGCTGAAGTTCTTCTCCAAAAAGTTTTTGGGAAAAAAACAACAACAACTTTACACTTGGTTCACCCAGGGTAGAAAGACAGAGGTACCATGGAATCATTTTACTGCCACAGAAAGTCAGGCAGCTCAGAAATGCAGTATATTGGCAGCACGCTAGGGAGCACAAAGAAAACCAGCGTAACTCATTGGTTCTTCTGCAAATCTCATGAAAAATGAGATTGCTCGATCTGGCATTTGGCTAGGACATTTGCACCAACACTCCTATAAGAGATTCCGTTTTATGTTTCTTTCTCCCAATAAGTTTATATTTAAAGACATGGATACATACTGGAATCACACAGTTCTTATACTATAAGATAATCTATTTTATTATGTTAGACTCACTTTTCAAGAGTATAAACCCAAAGACTGTCTTGAAACTAGTATATCAATGCATCATGAAATTAATGCAAATAAATGGATTCATGCTTGTGTTGTGTTCACATAAACCTCTCTTGAAGAGGACCACAAATCAGATTGCTCCTGCAATAAACATATACGAACTCTGTTCTACATTCCAGATACTAAAGTCATGGCTTCAGTATCTTGGTTGTGAAGTTCTGATGTATTCAATTAGGTCTGTGTACAAAGGTACTTAATGCCTGTCTTGTTCCCACCGCTAGATATCAATCAATTGAACTCTTAGTTCTCCTTAACAATTGTTACCTTTGCATTTGACTGACCACTCACATGCAGACTTTCTACTGACAGGAATTAAAGACTCCAGCAGAAGATTTTACCTATGCAAGTGGGTTTGGATGAAATTTAGATAAAACAGATAAAATTTACGTCAATACCTGGCATTTAGTTCTGATGGAACTTTTTTCTCATTTAGAAATGCTAGTTACTGCACATACAGGGCATGCATTTCAAGCATTAATACATTTGTTGTCATGAAGAAATGATGGTATCACTACCTTTAAAACACTCCTATTTGCTCATGTAGAGTGCGTGTTTGTATGTACTATATATAATTTAATGTCTGCTTGCTCACACTCTGCTCATCTTCCTTTATTTCTTGGACTCTAAGGAATTTATAGATGGAGAAAATAATTCGACTGAAAGCCTAGTAACAACATAACTGGACTGTTACCTGCTTGATCTAGAAGGTGCATAGTTCAGTTGGTTCAAATAGCACTTAGAAATATCAGCTTCAAACATTCTCATAGTAAGGAAAATGCATTAACTGAATTGTTTCATTTCAGCCTTGGAAAGGAGCATCAAGCCTCTGTAGCTTCAAGAGCATTCAAGGTTACTAGGTTTTCCAGTTTGTTCTCCTAAGGAAACAAGCTTTATGCAAACATATCCATCTGGCCCCTGCTCATAAATTTGGTTAAATGAACCTGCTGGTTCAAAGGCTGGCTGTGGCCTAGAAATCTCAGAGATAATTAAGGTCTTACATATTTGCAGAACTAACCCAGATGAAGAAATCCAAAATAGCAGACCCTCTGAGGAAAAGGCAGCTAAGTCTCAGCTGCCACCCAGTCTGTCTGGCATCATCCAGCTGGGCAACTGTGCTGTTCTTCCAGGCAGCGGGGCTCTTGCCCCAGATCAACCACTGCAAAAATCCTTTTCTTTGCCTGGTAGAGGTAAGGAACTTACTGTAACAAAAGGAGTAAGAGGAGTTAAGAAACAAGTTGATTTACACCATTTAAGTAAATCCAAACTGGTAGTTACATATGTACTTTTCCTACAGACACATGCACTCTTGCATTTGATATGATTATACCGTCTGTCTTTGGAGTACACATAAACAACAGCAAGTTTTCTGTGTCAAACCAACCAGATGTATGTGCACATCTATAATAATGACTCTTGGCCAACTAGTCCTTCTTCCCTGGCACCACACTGTTTTAGAAATTACTGACATCCTTTTGAAACCCTCTTTACATTTGCCAGGAAGCACAAACAGCTATATTTACTGTGGTAATGTTTTGTCAACATTAGCAAGTACTCATACTACCCCACATTTACAACAACAGAATGTGAAACCCTTACTTCATGCTCTCTTCAGCAAAGCAATGGACTCAATATAGAATGGGTGGACTAATATGAAAAGTATGTGAACTCAGCTGCATGGTTTCTTTTTCCAGCCAGAGGCCATTACAGCAGAAATCAACAGATGACTGCAACATTGCAACAGACAACCACGTTCTTTTCTGACAAAAAAAAAAAGAAAAAAAAAAGAAAAAAAAAGTAGAGAGATGATAATTCAGGCTCCCAGGTGTTTTACAGGAACAAGGTATATGTTTGGTAGATAAAAAGTACAGATTTGATGGAATGTGTTATTACTTTTTCTGGCTTGAAATGCACACAATGGATGTGCCATGGAGTGCTTAATGGGGTTTATATGGGGCCATAGTTAATGACTATAATAGCTTATACGGGGTCATACTTAATGACTGTTGTTCACAGTAAAGATCTGTCTGTTGAACTGATTTCTGACAGTGCAATTCACCAGTCACGCTTTGTTTCAGCCTTGTGAAGCCTCAATTGTCCTTTATATGCATTTCCTGCCTCCGTAGCCATCATTCGCCTTCTGCTTACCCAGCAACAATACTGAGGCAAACACATGAATTTAAACATCTTCCCAGAAATAACAAGAGACCAAGCATCTAACTGCCTGTTACCTCCATAGGTATCATTTTTATCATTCCAGCACCATGGCCTGGGGCTTTGGCCACAACTGAGGAACCCACAACTACATGAGCTGCTCAACGAGTGCACAGCATAACAGGATCCTTTACAATGAACATGTAAGTAAATAGACATTAAACAAAGTAACTTTCAGGTTCCGGTATCCTGCTTCCTTCTCTCATTAGTACCTTATCCTTCCTCTCACCGGAGGCACAATCATTCTTTTCGCTTCCCAACCAAACCATATAAAGCCATTAACCATTACCACATGCAAACAGAGCTCATGCTAATGATCTGCCTATGCATGCCAACCCTGGCCTCCTGTACTGACATGCCATCTCTTCAGCATCCTTCCTGAGAGCAGAACAAAGGAAAAACAAAACCAAAACCCAACAAACATACCAGAAAGGGACACAGGCCAGGCAGATATTTCCCCTTTCGCTCAACTCCAAGCGACTACTCGTGTACTGCCAGGACCCGTGTACATACCACGAGGAAGGCGCAATGTCAGTGGCCAAGCTACACCGCTGCGTGTACTCCCGTTTTCCCACTTAGATGTTGATACGATGGCGACACAACTCATTAAGTCTTCCATTTAGCCAACGAGGGCACTGGGAATTTCGCCGGCATTTCTCATCCCTCAAACCTCCCCACCGGCCGGCACCAATGGAAAAAAACGCACGGAGCACGGAAAGGAGCCCGTGAGGAGCCCGCAGCACCCATGTCGGTGCGAGGGCCGGGTCTCCAACTTCTCCCACTCTCCCTTTAGTTCCCTGCGCGGCGAGCTCCGGCCGGGGGTGGTGTACGAGGCAGCTCCGCTCCCCTCATCCCCCCCGGCCCTAAGATGTCTCCCTGCCGCCGGCGGGAGCAGCAGCAGCAGCAGCAGCAGGAGGAGGCGGCCCGGAGCTCGGCCCCGCACCTGCCGCAGCCCTTGCGACCCCCACACCCCGATCCGTGCCGCCGAGCAGGGAGCGGGGCAGAAAGCAGAGCGTGAAGGAGACGGAGGAGGCGGTCGCGGCCCCCAGCCCCCCGCAGCCCCCCGCTCACCTTTGCAGCGACCGGCTCAGCGCATCTTCCCCCCTCCCCGCCTCCCGCTGCTGGCTCTGGTGGTGGCGGCGGATCGGGGCGCCCCGCGCAGCCCCTCCCTCAGCTCCCGCTGCCTCTTCACCCCCACATCCCGGTGCCGGCGGTGCCGGCGGCAGCTGCTCCTAAATTCACGGCGCTCCGGCGGCATGAAGTCATCCTCTCCGCCCCCTCCCCGGGCCGCCGCACTCCGCTCTCGCCGAGGACGGGGAGGGGGGGTTGAGGCCGCCCCGCTGCATCCCCCCCACCCCCCTTCCCGGCTCCCTGTCCCTCAGCGCCCGGCCCCGCGGCACCGTACCAGGGCAGGGCAGGGTCCCGCGGCGCTGCGAGGCCGGAGCCGCGGGGGGAGCCTTCCCCCCGGGGTGTGCGTGTGTCTGTTTTTCAAGGAAAATCCGCTGTAATCCCTCGTGTGGGCGCCCGGCTCCCCCCTCCTCCTCCTCCCGCCGGCCTCAGGGCGCGCAAGCGCTTCGCAGCCTGCGCCCCCAAAAAAACGCCTTGCGCCCCCAAAAACGCCTTTCCCTGGGGGGCCGAGGGGAGCTGCTTGGCTCGGGGGGTTCTGCTCCGTGCCGGGGGGTGGAGGGCAGAAGAAGGGCCTAGTCCTCCACCGTCCTGGTTCAAGGTCACCAGGACGCTGCTTCTCCCTTTTACGAGGGTGTCCTGATATTTTTAAGATCCACCAGTAGGCAGCACATCTATTTTTGTTATTTATAGAGCGCCGTGCGTGCGCTGGGGAGCTGGCAGGCTCGTACAGAAAGAAGGCTGGACTGCAGCCACAGTTTACAACCCCACGAACCAGCCCTGCATGCAGGACCAGCACGGCCGTGTCGCTGCACAAACAGCACCAGGCGGTCCGGTGCAGATCGACAGATAGGTGTGTGGCCAAGTCACTTGGCCCGAGAGCTCTTGGCATTGCCCAAGCCAAGCAAACAAGGAGAAATCCTGATGGAAGAGCTCCCGGGGAGACACAGATGCTGTGAGAGCAGGTGTTCCCAAAGCACTTGGTCCTATTGACCGGGTAGCCAGTGTACCGGTGAAGTTCTGGAGTAGGCACGAGTTGGAAGCACTGCTGTTAGCCATGGTGGTAAAGCCTGAGACAGGAGCAAAGCTCTCAAGAGGAGCTGCTTCAACAGCCCCAGGAATAGCTAGGAAGGTTGTCTGTAGTGGCAGAGGAAAGCAGATAAGGGGAGAAGAGTCTCATTAAGGTAAGGATCTTAATCTCGGTCTCTCAGATGAAATGGAAAAACTAAGAGCCCGTGTTCCTGTTTGGAAATTCCTTGTATTTATCTTTCTAGTGGTTATGAAAAGGCTTTTAAATGCGCTGGGATCTTTGATTTGATTCCCAGTGCCTGCGCAGTTCCACAGTTGCACTAATTTGGGGCAGCTCCTGTTTACTCCCTGCCTTGAGACTATTATATTGATTGGCATTGTGGATCTGAATGTGCAGAACTGGCAGCATTTCAACACTGATGCTTAATCTCTGTTTACAGTTTGTTATGTGATTAAGGGCTCATCTCCGCACACACAGAGGAACGCAGAGGCAGGTGGGGCTGGCCCAGGCAGCCTCAGCCCCTATAGGGGCTATAGGGACCCAGCACCAGCAGGCAACTGAAAGGATTACTGGATCACCTCACTGACTGCTGGGGCAGGGGAGGTTATGGGGTGCATAATAGGAAAAACGTTTGGGGAGTGTACAAAGTATTATCATGGAGTGTTTAGGGGAAGAGTGAAAGGCCAGGGGAAAGGGAGATACCAAGGTGATTTGGAAAACGGTGAGATGAGGGGATCAACAGGGTTAGTTCTGTGTAAATAGCCGGCTGGTTAGTATGCTCGTCTGTCTGTGCCCTGCATCTGATCACTGCAGTCTGTCCTGTCTGTTCATTAAACTCTATTTTGCTAGCTGAGAGGGCTTCCTGGTCTCTGTGTGTATGAGGTGTAAGTGCCAGCAATGGGAGTCAGACCTCAGGTCATAGGGACCCATGCCAGAGAGGACAGTGTTACACCTCTCACACCATCTCTGTTTGCATGAGTGTTTGTGTCTGTGTTGAACTGAGTGACTGGCCAAGTGCACATTCATAACTTTACTGTATACATATATAGTGTGTTTTTGCCTATCAGGAATGCATGCTCAGACTTGATGGAGGAGAGGATGGATCTCAGAACATGGAGCCATGGCAGCCTTGCTTACTATCTGGTTCAGCAACTAATTCACTAAATGATTAGTGTCCTATAAAATATTTGATCTGTGCTAAAGTAAGAATTATTACTATTTCTCTAGTAACACTAAATTGCAGAGTCAAGAGAAGTAAACGCTCCTGGACCAAGAATATTAATTACTACTGTTCCACATCATTACAAGAAAAGAGGTAGGGCACAGGACAAACACATACAAAATTTGATTTTAGTAGAAAAACAATCATCTAGCTATATTTAGAGAGCCCATACTAAGGGAATATAATATTGGATTTACTGATCATGGACTTAGTTTCAAATAAATGGAAATATAAATTCAAATGATCATAAACTAAGCATTTTAGCTTTAAAAGGGTAGTCTGCAGGGAAATAAAAAGAAGAAACTAGTTAGTGAAATCAGTTGAAAAACTCAGTGTGGGGAAATCTTGGGAATTTTTCTATGTGAAAAGAACAATGTGTAAGGAATAACTCCAGACAACTGAAAAGAGAGTGACTTTAAGCAAGGTATTAGAATTAAGCTGTCAACTCACAAGTGAAAAGATATTTGTGGCTTAAAGGTTAGAAATAACCAGGGTGATGTGAGGTTTGCCAACTCTTGAATTAGATTGTTAAAATAAATACTGAAATAAATAGTAAAATGTGTATCACATGTAAAAATATAAAGAAAACCTGAAATGAAGAAGTTGAGCTCTCTTTCAGTGAGGATGGGGTGAAAAATGTACACTTTGTCCCTCAAACTGAGTAGTTTGCTTTTCTGGTAATTGCTGGCTGTAACAAAGGGTGGAGCAAATGGAATAAATGTTTAGAAATTAACGTTACTGTTTTCACAGTGAAATTAAAATCAAAAGAGTGTCTTCAAATCAGAGGAATAAATCTCTGTCTAAATGTAATGAAAAAATAGGGTACAAAATCACAAAAAATGTTTATAAGTCAGGGTGGCACCCTACTCCTTGGAGACTGTCAGGCAGTACCAGTATTTAAGATATGAGAAGATAAAAGACCTAGGGAACTTTAGTTACCTTAGCTAGATGTTGGCAGCATGCAACACTGAAATCTGCTGATGCTTTGACTATGGAAGCCATTTTGATAAACTGCAGAAAATAAGGAGTGGTTAAAGGTAGGTAAAGTATATGTATATGTGTAATAGACCAGGAAAGTGGAAGATGTCAAACAAAAAAGGCTGTTAGGAAAAGATGTCAATCTGGAGAAAAGTTAGTGGTAGCATTTCAAAATGAGCAATCATTGGGTTTTATTTTGTTTATTGTTTTCAGTAGTGGCCTTGGCAAGTAAGTACAAATGAATTAAAAGAAACCTTATCAATACAGAGTGGGTTTGGAATAACCTACTAATTGGTTGAGGAGTGAAATCACAGAACTGGGATGATGTCTTAATAGCAAAAACACAAAACATTTTAACGATACACTAGAGCATCTTTGTCTAAAAATTGCAAAGGAAAAGAAAGAAAAAATCAGAAGTACTAGATGATCATTGGATGACTCTGAGCTAGTGGTGGTGTAAGATTTGAGAAAGCAAAATGTATTTTTAGCAGATACCAACTGAGGCTAGTATAGATAAGGAAGTTTGCCGACTGGGTTGTATTTCCCAGTCTCTTGGTCCACCTTCAGAGTAGATTAGCTCCCATTGACCTTTCATGTCAGTGATACCTAGGCATATAATGCATCAAAAATCTGTGCACTAGATTGTATAGCAGTATTTAATAGTTTATGGGAGCTATTTAAGCTCCTCTGTAAGGAAACACTTCATGCTTTTGCTCACATATACTTTGTATGTAAGTGTATGCCCACCTATGCACATAAGACTTTTTACAAGCATTAGGATGTTCAGGAAGTTCTGAATGAAGTCTCCTGGGCTTAGCTTTTGCTTGGTACCAGTGGTAAAAATGGTTCAAACTACAAGGGTTAGTAAAGGTGGATCTGCTTTACAATGTATCTTGCTGATGAAAGTTTATATTATATGGAGAACATATGAAGATACAAGTACCACTGCACATAAGCATCTTCAAAGCTTATATTCCTCAGATTAGGAAAACTGATTTTACTGAGTATAAACAAGTATAAACAAGAACTCTGATCACCTGTCTTCATCCCCTGATTTTTTTTCGATCTAAGTAGCCTACCTCCTACTAGCCTGCTTATGTGGCAGTTATCCAGGGTAGGTTTGTTTTGTGGGCAGTTATCCAGGGTAGGTTTGGTTTGTGTGTGCCAGAATTCTAAAGATTTTGGAGTCTCTGCAGTGCAAGCCAGTAAACTTTTTTTGTTTGTTTGTTTGGTTGGTTTTATTTCCCCCAGGAGAATAGATAATACTGTTATAACCAGTTTATCATACTTTGTCATAAGCTTTATTATTATTAGTATTAAACTTGTACTACATTTATTAAACTGAACTATATTTCATGTTAAACTAAATACTATACACTTAAATAACAATTGATTATTTTTTTTTCTTGGATTTCTTCAGACTATGTTTAAAAGATAGGAATGCAATGAATAAACAGATCTTAGGAAATGTCACCAGTTTTTACAACAGCTCTGGGCAAGAATGTTATGTAATGTTCAGGAAATGCCAGGAAAAACAATTGCCAATTGTCACCAGCAATGTAATATAAGATATCGAACAAGTTTTTACAGTTCCTCTGGAGAACATTGGAAGTGCAGCCCATATTGTGTAGCAAACCAGTTTTACTGATGTTGTTGAAGAATAATGTAAAAATGTGTTGTATGAACTCTTTAACTGTGCCCAGTAAGTTACTGTCCTTCTGATCCCTCTGACACCTCCTAGATGAAATGATTTCAGGTCCCTGAAATAAAATTATGCACAAAAGTAAAATTGCTGTAAATTTAGTGCTAAGAAAATGCAGTTTTTCTTCTATGCTTACTAGAAGGACATCAAGGCCCTGCAATGTGTCCAGAGAAGAGCTTCGAAGTTGGTGAAAGGCTTGGAGCACAAGTCCTGTGAGCAGCAGCTGAGGGAACTGGGGTTGTTTAGACTGGAGGAGGCTCCAGGGAGACCTTATTGCTCTCTACAACACCTGAAGGGAAGGTGTGGGGAGCTGGGGGTCAGTCTCTTCTCACAGATAACTAGGGATAGGACTAGAGGGAATGGCCTCAAGTTGTGCCAGGGGAGGTTTAGGTTAGAAATTAAGAGACATTTCTTCTCAGAATGAGCAGTCAGGCATTGGAACAAGTTGCCCAGGGAGGTGGTGGAGCCTCTGGGGGTATTCAAGGAAAGGTTGGACGTGGTACTTAGGGACATAGTTTAGTGGGTGATATTGGAGGTAGGAGGATGGTTGGACCAGATGATCTTGGAGGTCTTTTCCAACCTTAATGATTCTATGGTTCTATGATTGTTTTATTCTGTTTCTGCAGGTATTTAAAAGCAAATGGACTAAGTTCTCTCTCCAAGATCACAATTTCAATTCCTTTTCATTCTTTCATTCACTCTTTCTTTATTCCTTCATTACCATTATTGCTTATTATGTTTAGTTATGCTTTTAGGTAAATGAACATATTTTGTACAATTGTTTGTGTTTATGGGATGTAATGTGTATTGCAGAAATTTTTAAAAGGGACACAGAAGTAATGTGACATTGAAAAAGAACAAAAGAACATTGCAAGACAAACTGCAGTGTCAGCAGCACTTTCTTACAACCAAAACCATCATCAATAAAATATATTTAAAATAGTGATGTATATCTGCAATCATTTCCAAAATGGAGGGGGGGGATGATTCAGGGATTTAAGTAAATTCTGCCTGATTGCTTGATAATTCTATCAAAACCATATAAATTAAAATGAAAACAAGTCATGCTGGAGCCACTACATTAGTTTCTAATCTTCAGCAGGAGGAATTTTAAAGTAAAATGATCTGCCTCTGAAAAGATTAGAACAACCAAACTCTGGTTGCAGACAGCCTCTGCCACTATCTCTAAGTCTTCTTCTTTTAATGCTGGCTACATGTTTTCTTAGACTAGGATTGTCAAATTTTCAAGGCA